AAAAGATGCTTGGTTCAGGACATCATATTCATAGTTTTTTTTTAGCTGTTTCTCACACTTTTGCCACAGTTCCTATTAATCAGTTGAACTCTTATAAAGGTAGTCTTGTTTGCTGATATGGTCAGTAATGGTCAGAGAACTATGTATCTTTTGGTACATTTGCAGAGTGGAGGCACAGTAAACTGTGCAGTTTTCATACTTTGCTGCTGCTTCTTCGCTTGTTTGTGTATCATTCCTTTATTATGCTTCTACCCCAGTGTGACTCAGTGCTTTAGGCATGGTACCCCAAAGTAAACTAAGGGAGGAAGAAATCTCGCCCCTCATGGCGTTTTGTGGTTTTGGAATGAGGAGATGTGGGTTTGGCAGCGCACTGCTCAGCGGGGTGAGGAAAGGAAGGGGTTAATGATGCGAGGCAGACGGATGTGGTGTCCTGTCCTGCTTGCGCTGAGCTGGGGGAAATGCCGTTCTGAAGCGAGTGGCTCACACTGCTGCAGTGTAGGTCTGCCTCTGCAGTGGGGGAATGAGCTCAAGGGCAGCACTGACGTGCTTCCAGATCCCAGGGCTGGAGTTCTGCAGCTAAGGAGCTGCTTTCATGACCAGGTATCATCAGCCTTTCATGCTTATTTCTTTGCTCTTCTGGTTTCTCTGCTCCCACTGAGCTTACTGGCCTTTTTTTTTGCATCTGATTTTTCTTTTTCATAATCTGCTAACAACTGGATATAATGCAAAATCTCTAGTGTGATCCCATGTCCAGAGAATCTGCAGACCGTCAACAGCAAATTCAGGAACGGCAGTTCCTCCTCAGATGGGCTCATTTCCTTATCCTGGAACAAAAAGTACTTTTTGGGGAATGTTGGAAACTTGGAACGCTGCTGTCCAGAAACCTGATTATGCGACCATGTTGTGTGTCTTACAGCTCCAGATCTGCATCCTTCCAAGGGCTACTTTGATTTCTCTGCTACCCCTGTAGTTAAATGCATGCGTGGGCTTTCTCACTTAGATGAGCTTTGATTTTAATGTAGGTTAATGGGGTTGCTGAACAAAATATCTCCCCCACTGATTTATATTTATAAGAGTTGTATAGTTTCCCCACTTCTTAGTGGGAGTCTGTTAACCTCAAACCACTACAGAGACGCTTGGGAACATTATTAAAAAATGATCAAATAAAGTGGGGGTAACTCCAATTTTGCATTTACATGTTCCAACAAAAAGAAACCGACCCAGTCCTGGATTGCAGTCATGATTGAGTACAGAAAAGGGCCTTAATCATGATTATGATAACCTAAAATGTATACTAATGATGTGCAAATGTGCCAGCCTACTAAAAACAAGTCGAAGGCGACCTGCTGTATTTCCCCAATAGTGTGGGAAGGTCAAGTACACAGCTTAGCTGAGTGACTCATTTTTTGCAAGTTGTGTGCAGGTTTCTCTTTGAAACCTTGATTGAACTCGAAATTTTTATACAAAGATATGTGTATATATATATATTTCTGGAGTCATTGTACGGTGTTCCATTATACTAGCATAGTGTCTGGACACAAGGCCTTACTCTAGTGAGGAATGGTTATGTTGAAGCAGCTACAGCAGAGCTTAAATGTAGACAGTGGGTGGCCACAGCTCTCACAGTTGCAACACTCAATCCTGCAAACCCATTCAGTCTAGAGTTGCTTTAGCATGGAAACTTAAAGTACCCCAGTCCCAGATGAACCACAGAGTCAGTAAATCCTTGTGCTTTGAATTTGAATCTGCAAATGTCAGGCAGAAGTTTTTACTTTTTGATTTGGTCTTTTTTTATGCAGCCTTTTTCTGATATAGTTGAGCAATTAATTTAATGGACTAAGTGTAGAATTGTGAAAGCAGAAACTAGAGTGGAGTTCCAGAAGAGTAAAATTAGTCCACTCAAGAATACATTACTTGCTTCTGGTAAATGTGGAGACCACCCTACTTGTGGCATGCAGCCTTATTCCCTAAAGTAGCCTTTCCATGGCTTTACAATGTATGGGATTGTAGCAGTATTGTTTCACCTGGAGTAAATTGCTTTTTAAAAGCTGTTTATTCTCTTCATAAAGATTCAGTTGTCTTCCAGTTTTTAATCCTGCAGTTCAACAGAAATTCACGTGGTGGGAGTTTCTTTTTTCTCAGCTCAGAAACTGGTTGGTTTGAATTTGGTGGAAGTGGAGTTTTTTTTTAAAAGTGTGTCTCTCGTAGCTCGTTTGTAACATGACACCTGAACTGTGTTTCAAAAACTGGAAGAATATGATGGGTGCCTCCGGGAAATTTCTGGCTCTCGTTTCTCAATATAGGTACCCTTTAGACTTGCATGTTTTGCCCTAGGGACAAATATACACTAGAGCTTTCTAGGTTTTTTTTTTTACATTGCCTCGAGCCTTAACATTATGAATTCACACGGATTCTTTTGCGTTCCATTAATTAATAGAGCTGGAGACTTAATTTTATGGGGTTATTGTCCTTACTCTCCATTTTGGCAAACTTGCTCCACTTTTTATCTTTTGAAGTGGCATTTGGCCACAGTTGGCAAATTTAAGAACAATTGGACTGTAGGAAGCTTGTTTTCCGTAGAAATCCGATTTGCTTTCAAAGGCTCTTCCTTCTTGGACAGATGATGGAGTTTACTGTAGTTCTGAGGGGTTAACCCAGCGTCATAAACCAAGCAGAGGAGCCTGTCGTTCCCTGAAACTGGAAGCATGGGAGAGATAGAAGGTGTCTGAGAGGAGGGAACACCTTGTGGCACTGCTGCCAGCCACAGCTGTGAAATCTAATCAGGTCTGGGGCTTTGGTACCTCTTAGCTGGTTCTTTGCCAGTTTCACCTCATTGTAAAACATTCTTGTCTTTAACCAGACGGGTAACTTGACACAGAAGCACACCTTCATTCTTCAAATATTTTCCTGTGTGGTGTACTAAATCATACTCTACCAGCTTATGAGATTTCTTTGCTAGAGACTGCCTCCGTAAGAATAGGTTTCAGAACCTTGAGAGTTCAGTCTTTTTTGTTTTTCATTGACATTTGTCTTTTGGAGATGATTTTTTTCCCCCTCCATTTTCTGTTTGTAGCTTCCCAAAAAACCTATGATTCAGAAGATTTGCTAAACTAAGGATAGGCTTCGGTCTATCGCTCTTTATCGGCCATGTCTGGCATGCCTTGTTTATTGGGGGTGTGGGTTTCCTCCACTCTCTTCTCTGTCCAAAGATGTATGGAATGGGATGAATGCCGTCAACTCATGGCGACGTTATGGACAGTTCCCCCATCGCTATCTATCGAGTTTTCATGGCAAGATACGGAAGTAGATTCCCGGGCCTTTCTTCCGTGCTAGGGGTATTGCCGTTGTCACGGTACGTGATCCTCCGCTGCCAACACTGACCTATACTGCTGCTGCCCAGTATGGATTATTGGAGAACCTTGCGCCCGATGTGGGACACGAACCCACTACCCTGCGATTGAGTCTAATGCTCTACCAACAGAGCTAGTCACACCCACAAAAGATGTATACTGGTAGGTTAATTGACTTCTGGGAAAAATTGGCCCATGTGTGTGTCCTGGCCCAATGCCTGCTGGGACGGGCTCTGGCTCCCCCTTGATCCCTGTATTGGATAAAGTGTCAAGAAAATGGTTGGAGATCACAAAGTTCCTAAACCTGGTCCTGAAGGGCCACAGACCTGCTGCTGTAAGAGCCAAGCTCTCTTACCCTAATGAACATTTAATTGATTCAATAATATGATTCATTTGACCTGTCTGATGGTTCTCATATCTTAAACATGTTGGCGGTTGGCTTTTTTATATTATTGCATTTTAAGTACAATTTTAAAACCTACAACTTCTGAGGAGAAAAAACAACAACTTTCCACTCAATATTCCACTCAAGCCTGTAGGTGTGAGAGCCTCCAGGACCAGGGTCAGGCAGCCCTGATTGGACCCTCTGCCTACTTCTCTGCGTTAGCTTGCCTAGATCGCTAAGGACTGGATCGCTTCCCGTTATGTGCACCTCTTCCATTCCCTGCTCTTCTAGGTACTTGGGGAATATAGTCAAAGCTGTGTCTGCAGGAAAAAATGGGACGATGTTGACATGTGAACATCACATGTAAAATTGAAGAAGTGTATCCAAAACAGTGTTTCAGGCCTAGGCGAATCTTTTGACTTTCACATCTTTTCACTATACAGTAGTTCCTTCAATAATGGCTATTTTGAAATATGGAGTACAGTCAACTCAATACTTAACCAGGGCTTAGGGGTTTTGAAGAGCACCTAAAGCTCACATAGTCAAATTTTACTCTACAACCCATATGCAAACCCCTACTAATCTCTTATAGCAAGTCAAAATATTAAATGAGTATGAAAACAGTAAGGAAGATGACTGTATAGTCTCATTAACTCCAGAAGCTCTTGTTGGTGTTCTTGATGAATTTGTCAGAGAATAGAGCATTTTTGAAATATTTGTTATTTTCCAGAGCTGCCTGCATAAAGCCACAACCACAAGTTGAGAGCACGTTAGTTACGGGCCGACTGTATTTTAAATGTTTTTTTCGTGGAATTTATTTCAAATACGGGAAAGAAGGCTCAGTAGGGCTTGCAGTTTTCCAGTGTCATGTCACTGGACCATCTAAACGGATATACGGTTTTGCTTTTTACATGTTTATAAAGTCGAGGTTTGCAGCCATTTCTAAAGTCTAGATTTTTTTTGTTTGTTCTTTAAACACCAGCGGGTGTCTTCTGCTGCACTCTTTAACAGAGCACATAATATCCTATTGCATCTCCCAACTGCAGAAGAACATGTTGAAATATTGCTGAAGATATTTCCAAAATCCATATCCAGGCATTCTATGTCTGTTCCAAGTTCATGTTAAGAATTCTTGGCCTTTTTTCTGGTTTTGCCTCTATTTTAGCTTCAGTGTGGATTCACAGTAAATGGAATGCTTAAGAGAAAGCCCTGTATACTCACCAGGTTTGGATACATTCACATGTCTGTTGTTTCTCTGTCTGCAGGTGTGGAGATTTATTGCAACGACAGAGGGCACAGGCCTGTTTAGAGATGTCGCTAACTGTGAACCTGATTGGGCCATCTCCTTGGGGGTTCAGAATATCTGGAGGGAGGGATTTCAAGAAGGCAATCGCCGTTTCAAAGGTAACACTTTCCAAGCACCTTGCCTGTTGTCCAGCTGAGTTTATATGGAATAGTCGGCCAACTGCTCCCGAGCTGCACAGCTCATTCTGCAATGTCAGAGAAGAGCACAGAGTATGGCTTAGAGCATGAGCTTTCAGACAGAGTCAGATCGTTACAGATTTTCTTATCTTTAAATTGCGGACTTTAGGAAGTCTCGACTATTGGAAGAAACCTTTTAGTGTAATTGCAGATTCCTGCAAGTAAATTTGTATTTGTTTAATTTGCAAGTGAATTTCCTGCAGCCAGCTACTTTGAGCTTGGATCAGCTTACTTCTCCTACAAACAATGAGCAACTTTGCTTTTAATGTAGGGACTTTCTAAGATGTGCTATCAACAATGTTTTAGTATTCAGCTGAGGGAATGATAAGTAGAACTTGTTTGACTTCGATGTGAAGAGGCATAACTTCTTATCCTGTTTTGATTAGAAATGAAAGGCTCCTTATAACAACGCCAGTTCCACCCAGCCTCTGCCACCACCTTGTCACTCTCGTCTGGCCACTTCATGCTGTTTGTTTCTCTGGAATGCTACCTGTTTCCTTTGATACTGAAACCCCCCACTCTGGGCTGGTTTAATAAAATGCTTCATCAAAGGAAGCCACTGATTACATTGATGGAATCTTGAGTGCTGGCCTATTGTTTTTTTGTGTTGTTTTTTCCAAGCCTTGGCTGCAGAGAAACAGGAAGATGAATCCCTGGTCAGTGCATATAAGGCATGGAAGATTTTTTATTTATTTTTTCCCCCCAAGACATTTCTTAATAAAAAGTCTGGAGTATAAAAGGCCGATAATCATGTTACAGATTGCACTGTAGTGCTTTGGAGATGTGCCTGCCAACTCAAATATAAATGTGACTGCTGTTATTCTAGCTATTGAAAAATTGAATTGTAGAGATTTTGATGTCATTTCTTGAATAAGAACTGGTTGCACTTATTGCCAATGTGTAGTCCCCACTTGGATGATGATAGCGGTTATAGTGCGCCAGTTCACTCACCCCAGATCAGCTGTCAGTGGGGAGGAAAACTGCGATGCAGCCAAGTTGTAGATGGGGATTAGTAGGAGGCCATGATTGGTAATGGTCAATGGGAAGTTTGGCTGGGACACCAGGGTAACACCCCTACTCATTTCAAGAAACTCCCTGGGATTTTCAATGACTGCAGAGAGTCAGGACCTCAGTTTTACATCTCATCCCAGAGATGGTACCTTTTTGCAGTATAGTGTTCTGCTTATACTGTAGTAGGATAGACCATAGGGTGAGCGCCCCATACTGGCCTCACTAACACCTCTTCCAGAAGCAGCCATAGTTTTCCAATGAGGCCTCCCATCGGGTACTGCCAAGGCTCACAGCGCTTAGCTTCTGTGGGTTGCAGGGTGATATAGCTGCTGGTGAGTTTTGCTCCCATAAATGCTGAATACTCCCATTGAGTTGTTTCCAGCACATGGTTTGGCAACTTGCACAACAAGCACAATTTCTGTCTCTCCTTAAGCCCTTAATCTACCTTCAGTTCACTGCCAGCAGTGCCCTCTGCTCCTGGCTTATGTGCTAAAATGATGACTGCTTGGCATTAAAACAACAGCGATGCCCTCTCTCTTAGGCTCAATAGGAAGCCACCCTGTACCCAGAGACAATATCCACTGCCAAAAAAAAAAGGAGCTTTAGTTTTTGCAAAGTGAGGCATACAATGATTGAAAAGGCCTGCGCTATTGAAGGTCCCCATAGCAACACATAATTACCACTTGAATAGTCATGCAAACATGGCACCCTTGCCCCTTGGCTTGTAATTCCCTTAACGCTATGCAGTTCTTTTGGAAGGCTTTGTGCCCATTAGTTCTAGCTTTGTCCTAGAGAACTTTTAAGTTTGTAATGTTGTTGGTAGCTTATTGTTCCCCAGTCTTGTTGGTCCTCTTCATAAAGGACCTGAAGTCAAGCACTGGCACAAACACGTCTTGGTAATTTGTTCTGAAGTGCCTGTTCTTGTTTTATTTTACAAAGACCATGCTCCCTTTGATCTATGAGAAGCCTGTTTCCAGTTTTTATTCTTTAAGTGTGAAAGGGAGACCCTGCCTTTAAGCTAATTGGAAGTTCTGTTTTCCACGTTCTCTGTATCTTCCATGTGTTGGCCAGGAGGCTGATGACAGACCTGTGGTAATACTTCATTTTCAGTGTCCATCTTGGGAATGTTGTCAGCTTTCTTCAGTCCTTGAGAAGGTCTTGAGAGTCTCAGTGTCAAGAAATGGAGGAAAAGATTTTACCAATAAAATGGATAGCTCAATGAAATCCTTGAGATTGTGGATACAATGGAGTCACTTGAGGCTGTATCACTCAGAAAATGGGACTGTCCATCATTTCTCTTTTAAAAGATCTCATCTCTCTGTTGTGGACTCCCTTCCTTCAGATGTCAGTTTATAAACGGCCCCTGGTGCTATAAAGAGGCTTACTGGATGCCAATACTTCATGCTGTTCTTTTCGTGATGCTCCTGTTCACCCCTAAGGTTCTTGTGACACCAATCAATTTGCTGGTAGTGTAAATTGTGACCAGTTTCAAAGGATGTGACCAGTTCCACCATGCAGCTAACAGTCTATACAGACTGCCTTTGTTCTCAGTACATGACTGGATATTGTTCAGACTGGTTTGCTGCAGGAATAGCAATGGCCATTTTCTACTTTTCTCTTTGATAGCAAGTTACTTATTGGTGGGAAATAAGTTATGCATTTAACTGATCCATTTGCCTTTTACATTTCTTTATCAAAATGTAATTGTCCTGTTGGTTACAGCTATAATTCACTAATGGATCGGAAGCTGATTAATTGCTTAACATTCATAAACGCTGTTGGTGGTGCTTCTTTGTTCTGAATCCAGGCAACTGTGGTTTTTGTAGTGTCTGTGTTTAACTGTTTATTTGCTAGAGCTGATGGTGCTACACAATGCTCATCGGTGTGCTGATGGGATATGGCCTGGAGTTGTTCACTTGGAATAAGTCGCTTCGGACAGATTGCTTTGCCTCATGGTGGCTAGAATGTCAATATGTTGCTAAGGGTGTTGCATAAGAAGGAGCGCTTTGATGGCAGATCGTCTTGTGTAATAAGATTCTCCACTCCCTTGTATTGCACATGTGCAGAAATGACCAGTGTTTTGCATTATTGTACTTTGCATCTGACAGCTGCTTGATCTCTTCTCTCCTTCTCCCTGGTAGGGTCTAGTCCAGTTCTAGGACTCTCAGGAGATGGCACAGCTTCTATATCTGAATTCCTGCTTTGCTGAAGAAAGCAGCGAGATGATGCCCTTGAGAGTAGTTGTGGAGAAGGCGCGTTTCACCTTCTAATGCACTTATGCAGATTTGCTATCGTGTGCTTCTTTCCCACTTATGCAACATTTCACCATTACAATCATTGGCCCAGTTGTTCTGGGGCCCTGTGCTTGTTGTTAGGGTTGCAAGCATCATCATGTTAAGTATTACTTTGTCAAAAAGGAATTGGCACATGAAGTAGTTAACATAGCCCGATTAATTGTTTATATAGTGATAAGATGTTTATATACTGTAGCCTATAATTAAATGCATCAAAGACTTATGTACAGGAATCAGAGGTAAGGGAAAAAGCGACTTAGTGTTTCAGTTAATTACATAGTTTTAATGAGCTGAATGGATCACAGAGCTCATTCATTTATTGCCTCAAAGGAATATGCAATCATATACAGCCTTTTGCCACAGAAACATACCTAAAAATGTATATACGAAGTATGTTTTTGTTCCAATGTGATCAAACGCATAAATGTACCCATGAAATGACATACTGTATTACATCGTACTTCTTTCTATTCATCTCATGATCACAAATTCAAATTGCCTGACTAAAGTGCTGGTACTTCTGGAGGGTGCAGGAGCTGCTTCAGCAGGGGCAGAAAAAGGAGTAGGTTGGCAATCAGTAGCTGGGCAGGAAGCAGTCTAGCTCTTGTGAGCTCTCGAAACCTTTTTGTCTATACTTGGAAACTACTAAGACTTGTCAACACTAGTCATTCATTGGGAGCAATTTCTCTAGACTGCACCTATCAATTTGGTGACGAGTCAAGGAAGTTGAAATTGGAAGAGTACCTGGGTTGTGTATTCCTTTCCACTTGACTGGGGACTCTGAATATTCGATACTCTATGTACATAGTAAATGTATATTGCCTCTCGGTAAGATCTCAGTCCATCTTTCTTCCTTTACACCAGCTGCTCGGAAGCAATTTGACTGCTGTCTGTAATTGCCTACTTTGACCTCACACTGACTTCCTACGTCCACTCCAGGTGAATGGAGGCAGCAAGGCAGAGTCAGCTGGCCTTCGGCTGGGGGATGTCATTGCGGAGATCAATGGCGAGAGCGCGGCAGAGATGCTGAACGTTGAGGCGCAGAACAAGATCAAGAGCTCCAAGACCAAGCTGCAGTTGGTGGTGGACAGGTAAAGGCAAGGCTGTCAATCATCTGGGTGTTGGAGGGGCGTTGTCATGCCTAAAGGTCAATCTATGCCCGGAATGTTCTTCCAGGAGTTACTGGAAGAAATGTGTCTTACAGTACTATGTTTTTGTACTTGCTGTGGCTTTCGTGTTGGTCTCCTGTAGGCTGGAGGCTTGCTCGGTTTCCACAGCGATTTTAATTTTGTAGGGATAGCTGGTGATCTGCCTGTATTTATTGGTATTCCAGGTACCTATGATTTTGTGGAGGTCCCTCACACATTTGAGATACAACCCCACATGTGTGTTGATCCAGCCCCATTTTGTACTGTAGCTGTCCTTGGTCTACTGCTCTCCTGTTTGCCTTTGAGCAAAGTGTCATTTTTTTATCCTCCTTTCTGTTTTGTTGCCTTGTCTGGCCAATGGTGTCTGAACAGATCCATGACCATTGCGACCATTTTGTGAACTGGTATAAGCACAGGTAAAACCAAGAAAAGGCCATTAAGCCCATCTAGCCCCTTTAATGGTTAGTAGCTAATTGACCCAGTGGTCTCATCCAACTCTTTTGAAAGAAGCCAAGCTGTCAGTTTCAACATTGCTGGGTAGCTTAATCCAGACTCTTACAGCCCAAGTATATGTTACTGTCCTGGAAGAAACTTTAATCTCTGGATTGTTGCCTATACCTTGTTATAGTACAGAAGAGAATTTGCAAGTCATGCAGAAAGTTTACTTTGAGGAGCTTTGTCTTTGTCATTGACAGGCAACCAGTTACAATGTGTCATGTCAACACTGCATCAGACATTTCATTTTTACACAAAAGAGATTTCAGGAAGGGGGACAGATGCGTTTTAGCTACAGTAGGTCGGCAATGTTTGTAGGTCTAATAAAGGTACCTTATACTGAAGGGTTGAAACTATGGGTATTGTTTGGCTGTGTTTGCATAGCTGTTGTTGGAAAGCTCCTTTGATCACTTGTTCCTTTGCCTTTTAGTTTCACCTGCCCTTTTTTTTTCCCTGTGAAATCATGAGGTCATCCATATTAAAACGTACTCAATAGTGACTGTACAATTCCTATTGGAATTATATCCTGTAGAACACTTAGCAGAGACGCAATGTTTCGGCTGTGGAGCCTTCTTCAGGTGTCATCCAAAACATTGTGTCTCTTTTCTTTTCCTCTCAACTTGAAATGAACCTTGACCTGTTCCCAAACTTTGACTCTGCCTTGCAGAAGCATTGTCTTCTAGTGTTAATGAAAGCTGATTGAGTTTCATTTATTTTCATTAGCTCAAATCTGCATGTATTAAGAAAGCACCATATAAAAAACATTGGTACAGCTGAACTCCCAAGACTTAGTGCTGCAAATCCCAGAGCTATTGCAGTCATCGGAGTCTGTCTTGTTTATTTACTTAGCTGAAACAATTGTTTTGTGTCCCCTGTAGCAGATCATGGCACCCTGAAATGTCCTATTTGTTTAGGAAGTGGAAACAATATAGCTTTAATTGAACAGTATTTTGCTCAACAGGAGGTTTAGTGATGTAATTGGAAGCTTGGCTAGAGCAACAGCCTTAAGATGCTGTTTATCAAGGACTGAGTTTGGTGGCAAACAGTTATTTGGAATGCAGGAATGTCATGAGGGGAAGATTGAGTTTCACCACGCCTTTCATTTCAAGATCGTTCCTTTAGCTTTCACTGACCACAAACTCTGGTTTCTGGGCATTGCTGAAGTGCATGTAAGCGTTCTGCTTTTTACTTTCAGCCCTACATCTCACACAAAGACAATGAGTCCCACAACACCTGGCTTCCTGCCAAAAACAACAGTTCGCTTTTGTTACCCTCTTAGTTTGGCATGAGAGTCCTGCCAAACAGTCAAGACTGCATTCCTGTATTCTTCCTGCATTCTTTCTAAATTCCAATTTGCTTTTTCTGCAAGGAGAGTGCTTTATGCCCAGATTAAAATAAATCATAAATTACATATTTAATAGTAGGTTTTGGTCAGGTTGAGGTCTGCGGTAAATCAACTGTTAATGGAATTTAAGATCATCAGGTGGGTCGGAGTTTGGTTCTGATTTGAAATAGGATAAGTATTGAATGGAGAATGTTACTCCTGGGTTTTAGAGAATGCCCAGTTTGAACGTGTACGGGAAGATTGCGTTAATTGATTTAGTTATTAATTACTGGATTTTATCTGGAGTAGATTAAAATTAAGCAGGATATTGTGTTCATGTTGGCAGGCTATTCCTTTTAGGCAATTAGATGACAATTACTTTTTAGTAACTGTAACATTTGTAACAATTTGCCTAAAACCATTTTGGTTATGATTAGAACAATACAATTTGAAAACATGGCTTAAGGCATTTCCACTTCCTATAGGTTATTCAGTTTCTTTTTCTTTATTCATGCCTTCTGGGAAGGAACAATACTGAGACACTAGTCAGCTCAGAAAAGCACAGATCTTTAAGATTATATACCACTTCTTAATTCAGGACAACTTGATGCGCGCTTTAAAACTCGTGGCTACTGCCAGCAACTGGCACCTTGCTGTAGTGTTCCGGACAATGTCCTGTACAGAACGCATACCCAGATGTGTGATGGGATAATAACCGCCACCTGGGTGATGCAGGCATCTGGATCTGGGAAGCCTTTGTCTCCAGGTTCAGTCAGGCACTGAGCATCTTGTGCTTGATAAGTCTAGAGGATCTTTTTGCTTGTACTTAAAGGTTATGTTACATAACATAAGACCCCTCAGACTAAGTAAGCTACTGTGTGGGAGACAAAAACAATCTTGGATGACATGAAGTGTGAAGAATTTGTAAATTATGTTATCTGATCTTTTCAAACAAAGAAAAATGAAAGTCCAGCTTAACATTCCATTAAACAATTGTTATTTGGCTATAACCCTAAATAAGGAAAACAATTGAAAAGGTATTGATGAAACTTTAAAATAAAAGGCTCCCTGTGAGTCACAAGACTCAAGCCAGTTGTGTGCTTCAGGGGTTCCAGGGGCACACGACTTCACTCTTCACCTCCTTTAACTGACAGTCTTCCCTTCACATCTTCCAAGATGAACAAACATCCTACATGAATAGCTACTTGGGGAGTTCAACCCTCTGGTAGCGAGTGGACCCAAAACACAGGAAATGAGCTTTTAAGTTCTGCTTTTTTGATTTACACGGCACTTTTCAATGCATCTGTTGAGTAAAACGTTTTTGCTATTGGTCTGAACTATACAGTTGGCTCCAAATTATATTCATACAATGTAACAGAGTTGGTTTTGGGAAGAGAAATGCAATTATACATGCAGTGTAAAGTTAAATGTGAAGTGTGCAAGGTAGTATGTATTGGATAACACAAGCCATCTGGAATAATTGCATATATAATTACAATATTTGACATGAGATGCACTCCAACAAGAAGATGCTTACTGTAGCCTTTTGCTCGGGCAGTTCTTAGTCCAGAAGTGTGACCATTTCTATGTCCAGATGTTCCCCAGCTCCTTTAGAATACATACCATGTTTTTGTGAAACACTTTCTTTACTTCATAGGAAAAAAACGCTCTATTGAATCGAGGTCTGGCAGTGGTGATGACCAGTCTTTTTCATTTTAAACATTTGGCATCCTGCTGGAAAGTTCATTTGTGACTGAGCTTGAGCCTTCTTAGCCGAGTGAACAAGGCTTGAGATGGAATATGAAGTAACTGGAATCTGTCCATACCTCAGCGCTAGTAAAGGCAGCCAAGGGTGCAAAACACCCACCTGCATGCTTGGTAGAAGTCAATTAACATGAGCTTCACATTTCTATGCTGTACCCGTGCTGCTGGTAGGCCTGTCAAACTCAGAATTTTTCTTCTAACCACATTTGGTCGTATTTGTATTGGGATCAAGTAGTTGCTATTTGGCAGGCTCTTTTCATTTCTTGTTGCTATGGCAGTCTGCCGCAGACAACGGATTCATGTGGTCAGCCTTTACTGGTAGTCGTGGAGCCGTGGGATCCTGATGTGAAACTTCAAAAACAAAATCTGACAACTGTTGCCATTTGGTGTGAGTTAGCCTCCCAAAGCATGACTGACCACAATTTTGCGTGCAACTTTTTCAGCCTCTTCTGGTAGTGTAGCAACCCTTCTGTCAGCCTCAAACCTGATGATAAATGCTTCATGATTTTTTTTTTTTTTATAGCTGTTATTGAGGTCAATATTTGTTGTTTTTTTTTCTGCTGCCTGGTGGGATTGGCTCCGGCTTCCTCCGAGATTCTGAATGGGAAGAAGTGGTTAGAAAATGGGTGTTTAATCCAATATGGATCCAGTATTAAATCAAGCTTATGTACAGTATGCAACTAATAATAATAAAATACAGCTGCATATTCAGTGCTAACCCCAACTTTGTTATATTGAATCAAGCGTATGAATAAATGTGGAGCCAATGGTGTTGTAGTCTTCATTTTTATCTTTGGGCATATATTACTTATACAACAGAATAAAGGTGTACCTCAGGGTTCTATACTGACTTCCATCTATTTTCTAACTGCTTTATCCAGTAAAGAGAGCCGGAGCCTATCCCAGTAAGCCGCAGGAGCAAGGTTGGGTACACCCTGGATGTGACGCCAGTCCATCCAAGGGCACACACTGACACAGGCATGCACACATTCACACCAGGGGCAGTTTTCCCAGAAGCCAATTAACCTGCCTTTGCACTATGGGGAGGAAACCGGAGCACCCAGAGGAGACCCACACAAACGCAGGGAGAATATTCCAATGCCATGCAGAGAGCACCACGGGGAATTGAACGCAGGTCCCCAAAGATGCCTTGCTAACTGTGCTACTGTGCTGCCCCTAATGTGACTTGATTGATTGATTATTTTTTGTGGCTCGTATCTTCCCTATGTAGTTTGTGGCTTTAGCAATTGTTTTAACTTAATCTAATTTGAGGTTGGAATGGAATTCTAGAAAACCATTTGAATGACATTGTCTCGCTATGGCTGTTGCTGAAAAGCTTGTTCATACTGGCAATTTAAAT